TTCTGCTAAAGTACACGCGTAGGAAATTTATACCCTGAAATGAGTTTACCTGATCAATGTTTTTCATTCTTTAGATTCATTTCAAAAGGTTTTTTCGAAGGTTTTGTTTTATGTAAACTGCGCAATCTCAGAAATATACTTTAAACAGCTCAATAAGAATATGTAAATTGTGCAAACTGTCCAATATCATGTTGTTACTGCGCAATATCTTGACAAACGATTTGTTTGAGCGGCGTTTGATCTAAAAGATAGACGTATCATGACTACGCATATCCATTAAACCCAAGTGCACGTCAACGATAATTAACCTTGTGCAACAGTGAGTACGCAACTTTTCTAAAATTCTAAATTTCGCAAAATCTTTGAATAACTTAAAAAAAGCCGTGGCGAGTTGCAAAACGTACGAGGATACGCTTACAACGTTCTTTAAATTAAATATCTATATACTAGTCTATAGTTTCGAGCAAATGGCTTTGACGTCACATTAAAAAAAAAACAACAACAACAACAATCACAAAAAGACAAAAACAAAAACAAAAAGATCTTATGACTTATGTCATTGTACTGTCGTTTTGGCAGAAGTTAACATAATAACAGAAGAAAGCGTTTACAAAACAAAAAAGTTAAGCTGTTTCATTGTGTTAGAACACCAATGTGGCCGCCTTTACGTCGTTCACGTCAAAAATCTCTTCAAGTAAAATTAGATGCTCGTGAACTAGCACGTGACCAGCTCAAGCGTTTACATACGTTTTGCAACTAATGCCCTCTAAGATGACGCTAAGATATTGCGCAATTTAGAAATTCTCACCGCGCTCTTAGCTACTGAAATTGTATGGTACATTGCATTGAGTTGTGCAAAGTAAAATATAAGCCAACTATAACAGCGACCTTTCCGGTGGCGGTAAGTTCATCAATATATGAAGCCGACACGACTTCAAACCCACGGCTCTAAAGATCCACATATAAAATTTATAGAAGTCGGATAAGGTTGGGAATGCGAAGTCCGAAGTCCGAAGTCCGAAGTCCGAAGTCCGAAATTGTAAGTAGGAAGTCCGAAATCAAAAGCTTTCAAGAATCGCGTATCTATCCCATTACTAACCAGAATAAATAAATAAATAAATAAATAAATAAATAAGACTGTCGGTTCTAGGATGGCGTATCCACTTCAATTTCGCAGTAAGATTGCTGTTTTTGTCAGTTCCCTTGGTAACAAGAATCGCCTTGACAGAGTCAAATTTCATTTACACGCTCTATTACATGTACGTCACATTCAGAAAGTAATCTACATACATTATGTGAAGAACGCTGGGGGGAAAGGCGCCGCCAAATCCCTTTCGTAATAGGTCGTTGCCATTTTCAAAGGACCAGTACCATTAATGGTAACCGATAATCTCTGGAATTATCTATTTATTTATTTATTTATTTATTTATTTATTTATTTATTTACTAAGAACCCCGATAATTCGAACTCTCCGCTAACTCGAACTAAGTCCAATTTCACTTTGAATTCACTCCCTGACCAGTCATTTTTACACAGTTAACTCGATCTCGGATAACTCGAATTCCCCGCTAACTCGAACTAAATTTCCTTTCCCTTGATCAAAAAGTCGCTATTAATTTACCCCGATAACTCTACTTGACCTCTCCATGTTGTAAAAAGGTAAAATCACTAAACTAGCACTGTTCAACACTAAAGTAATTTGGTGAAACGTACAGATCAAGTTTTATCATTAAAAATGTCTTGTAATGTTACCGTTTCTAATGAAATAAGTTAAATTTGGATTGCACCATACACTGAAGTGCTGAAAAATCAGTAACTATCAATTTTTAACATGGCAAATTGAATTTTGCGATCGACCCAGATTACTCGAACCCTCGCTAACTCGAACTGTTTTACGTTTCCCTTCAGAGTTCGAGTTACCGCGGTTCCACCGTACTTTGCATAATTAAAACCGTCCCTCATTTACTGTGTCACGAAATTCATTTCTTACAAATTGAACAAAACAATATTGACGTCGATACAGCCCCCTCGAGTGAACTTACCTAGGCAAAATACAGTGATTATGGAACTAATAAAATTGTCCACTCAAGTGTCTACCTTGTTTTATTGTGTTTACTCACTGGTGCGGAATGCCAGAAAGGCCTATACAGGCAAAAGCCATATTTTTAACTATTCCTAGAAAGAAGGAAGTTTTAGCCCATATTGAGTTTATGTTAAGAGTTAGGCAAAGGAACAAAGGGTCACCAGTTATAACTGTGACATTTACAGTTCTGAGACAGTTTATTATGATATGTATTTAAATGTTTCTAACATTTGGCCGATCGGTGTGGAAGTGCTGCAATAAAGTAGAGAGACTTAGAACACAAAAAGACCGGGTTCTCTTGTGGGTTGCAGGAACCTCTTTCCTCTAATTAGAAACACATTCAATATCAAGTAAAAATTATCCCAAGAGGGTCGAACATGGCAGCGACCTTACGAACGGAAATCAAAACTGCATCTCAGTAAAACTGACGTTAACTGCTGAGTAACCATACCTTCAATCATGCATATAAATTCATCCAACAACTTAATTTTACTAAAGTTAAGGAAGCTTCTTTGAAGCCAGAAGGTCCTCGGAAAACTCTAAAAGGTAAGAGGCGAGTGTACATTATTATAATGCTTACAGGTATTTTTCATTAAATACATATTTTAACAGCAGTATACCACAATTTCTAAGTTGATGTGAAACATACGGTAAACTGCAAGGTATAACATGCATATCTTGTTATCTCAGATGCTTCTTTTGAGGACCACTTGCTAACTAAGTGGGAAATTTGTAATACGAGGGTTACGTACCCAAAAACGCAAAAGCTGACTTTGCTTCTTTTGCTTATTGCGAATAAATAAATAAGTAAATAAATAAATAAAATAACCTTTTTTTGTTGATGACTTTAAACTTCTTACAAAGTCTGTGAATTTAATTCTGGTTTCATTTAAGAGTACAGATGGTCTAGAATGCCAATTTATTTCTAACCTTGATTAAAAAATAAATAACAAGGGCAAAAAATCGGATTTCATAACGTACTGTCCGGAAAACCAAAGTGCCTGTAAGGTGAGGGATTGTCGGGACTGCATTTTTTAGTTTCAAGCTTATGTATGTTAATTATATCATCAAGCTACCTTTCAAGTTATCAGTTATATGATGTGTAACTCATAGTAGTCACCAATACCCAACATTATCTTCCGTGTTTCCCATCGCCTTACCTTTGACACACCGAAATGATTCAGAAAGATGACGACAATAATGCTCGACAATAACTAAATTTATTACAAAATTTGCAAAGCATGCAACAGAAAATTATCTAAACTTAAGGATCGTATCGCCTTCATGCATGATGAAAGGTACAGAATATTTAGCAAGGGATCTAACGTTAAGTTATGCAGCGCACTCGAAAAAACTAAGCCCACGATTGTACTTAACGGAAAAAAATCGACTGCAAAAACTTTCACGGAGAGATTTTTTGCCCTTAAATACAGTAGAATACCGCAAACCTAACTTCCTTTTCGGTTCTTCGGTTAAACTGTATTGTTATTTCTGCCAAAACGACCCCACCTCACGCAAAATATGAAAGCCGTTCGAGACATTAAAAATTAAAGTTTTCAACGATAAATGAAAACAAACCTATGGCCTGAACAAAGTTCTAAAACTAGCCGCGGCTTTGCAAACAGTCTTTTACGAGCAAACATGGTGCAGGTACAAGATGTTGCGTTATGGAAACGCTTATGTAACTAAGAAAAGTTACGTGGACGGCTCTGTCAATTTCTGCGTTGGCGTGCAGCCACTTGGGCCTTTATCTACTACTCGTGTTGTGATATATAGTTCTCGGAAAGCAATCCATTGTTCAAACCTTTTGACATGATATTGCGCACTTTACAGGATATTGATTGAATTGCGCAGTTTATAAAAGGTGGTATAATGCCTTTTGTTCCGTAATAAAAAAAAAATACTACGTAAGCCCATATTTACTGCGTTTATAGAACTATTGTTAAACGCTGCTGTAAGCAAGTGTCCTTGAAATCAAAATGTTATGGAATAAAAAAGAAACTTCTTTTAAATCTACGCATAAGCCTTCCTTAGAAAACATACTTATAAATTGAGGTTTTTCCTACTGTTGCTCTGTTCAGCGAAGCAAGACTTAACTGAAACCCATACAACCCTGTCAACAATTTTTATAAGTATTTGCAATTTAAATTAAAATCTACGTCAACTGCGTGGTCAGAAAGTATCAGAATCCTGGCTTTATTTTGAAGATTTTTTGACAAACCTGTTGTCGCGCCTGACTTGAATGACTTGGCAAATTACAGACTGAGAATTTTCAGTGTTTCATGTCGGGTCCGATACAATTTAGTTGCACTCCGTAACGTCCTAGTATTGTCATCCCACAAGGGAGGAATATAATTTATTCGATCACTATGAATGGGTAAGTGGTGAGGAAGGAAGAAGGCATAAATCTTTTGTAGTCGTTG